AGGGGCAAATAGAAAGAAACGTGTAGGCCTTCTCTAAGCTAGCTGGAAGTTCTACAACAAATGAGATCTAATTACAGATATCCACTTCTTCATTTTAGTTTTTTGAACAATTTGATGAAGATGAAATTGGAGCGTTGGACAATGTGGACTTAGAAGGCTATATTAACACAGACAATACTCGGTTGCAGGAAGTCCTCAATGATTACTACAAAGAGAAAGCGAAGAAGTATGTATTCCTGGAAGTACTGCCTCACATAAGTAATTATGTAATCCTGTGTTTATACTGAAAGTTTGGTTATGTTTTTTCCAGTTCATGTCCTCAAAGATTACAGTCCCACAATTAAAGCAGCTACATATGCATATTATCCATTTTTTTTAAGTCACTTAATGTCAGTCTTAATGTAGATGGTAAAATTTTGTTGGTTAGCGCAAAATTACACTCCTTTTGTGTAATTAGTAATATCCAGAGGCATTTAGAGAATCACAGAATGTTAAGGGTTGGAAGGGACCTCAAAAGATCATCTAGTCCAACCCCCCTGCCAGAGCAGGATCCTCTAGAGTAGGTCACATAGGAATGCATCCAGGCATTCTTCCTTCCCCTTTTTAGTGTAACTTACTATTCTTTTTATACCTTTACTTCTGTTTTTAACAGACTCTGTAGCCAAGTATATTCTGTCCTGCTGGTATGCAGCTAATTCCTAGTTACTTGATAATAGATTGTGTGCAGCTGTCACACGGCTACCACTGTTTGGAGCACTGCGAAAATCAGTGCTTATAAAGCAACCTCATGTCACTGTAAACCTGCATTTCCACGGTATATTCACTTTGGCTATCCCTAAGTTAAATGGCTAAATGTTGTCACTTTAGTCTTGTGTTTCCTCCTTGCAAGATTCGGTAATGTGTCCCTTGTAGCAAAGATGACTGGTCAGTGGCAGGATACATAATTCCCTCTAGAGCTGCCTTGCTTACAAGCTGAAAAATATATCCTCTTCTCTTCCTGCTCTCCAGTCACGAATGTTCTGTGCCACATACTTTTGAAATGCAGAAAGGCTGCTTTTTCTGTGTCCCTTGTCCTAACATTTTGATGATGCTTGCTTAAGGAAAAATACTTCTCATGCAGGTTTCACTGGGAATAGCTGTCTTTGGTTTGAGGTTATCCCAAGCGGAGCCTGGGTTTACAAAAATTATACAATTTCAAGAAAAGCTAAACTTTATTATTTTCTTCTCTGGACTTGTTCGAAGTTGTGTGAAGTTGGATTCCCTTGAACCCTGTGAAGATTTAGACTCTGCTGTGAACGAAGAAAGTGAGGATGAAAAGGAAGAAATAGTAGCTGTAGTTATTGAGGAACCAAAAGAAAAGTGGGATTGCGAGTCTATTTTGAGTAAGTATTTTGGAGTTCACGTGTTTGTTCCTAGGATTTCAGAGTAAATGATAGGTGATCTCTGCACTTTTCTATCAGTGCATTAGGTAAAAAGCACAACAGAAGGAATTCTTGTTAGATAAAACTACTGCTTTTGCATGGATAACTTAATGCTTGCAATTTCATATCTCCGAAGACATAAGTAGTAGTACAATTCATAACAAATTTACCTGATTTCTGTTTGCAAGCCTTTCTTCACTGCTTTTATTTTCCTTCTTTCTTTGTGACCTAGGTACATATTCAAACTTATATAATCACCCGACACTTATTAAGGAGCCTTCAAAGGTAAAGTCATTAAACTTTGTCTAACAACAACCTGGCCTGGGAAAACTTGAGACAGAAGTGATTTTCTTAATGAATATCTTTTATTTGTTTAAAAAAAAAAGGAAAGAAAGAACAGGGAAGGGTGTTAGCCTCTGGTGTTCTTCACTGAAGAAGGATTTGGAATTTTTTTTTTTTTTGCTATTAGAAGGAAAATTGAGTAAGTTCAAAATTTCTGTAATAGTTAGGCAGAAACGTAGGGAGTAAGGAATTTACGTTTGTGTTATCTCTGTTAACACAATCTGTGTCTTACAACCACGTACTAGGTTTTGTTTTTTTCTTGAAAATAGGCTTTTATTTCAATCTAATTCTTTGGTATTCCAGATATTCCCTATTATTAGAGCACAGCTCAATGTTCCAGATGTGTGAGACTTTGAAAGGAAAACTTTTCCTTCGAAAGCTTGTAAAAGAATATTGAGTGCCTACTTAAGGTCTTTTATTTTTCTGAAATATTTAAACAAAAGGGATAAACTTTTTATTGTTCTGGGAGGCCATATTCTGCTCACAGGTGTGTTTGATTTCTTACTTGCAAGGTAATGTGCGTTTTTTCTGAGGGGGAAAAGAATAGCTTAAAGAAACTTACATGTTTGTCACTGTTAAATCTGAATCTAATGTTTTTACAGTGGTGTGATGTAAGCTAGGGACTGTTAATACGTATGTGCTCTCTATTTTAGCCCAAACCAATAAAAGTTTCCCAGAAGACTGGAATTCCTCTACATATCTTGCCTCAGAAAGGTCTTACTGCTAAGCAGATTGAACGCATGCAAATGATTAATGGCAGTGACCTGCCAAGAGCATCAACACAGCCTCGTTCCAAAGATGAGAGCAAAGAGGATCGCAAAGCTAGAAAGCAGGCAATAAAAGAGGAGCGAAAGGTACGCCTTATTTAAAATAAAACACTGCAAAAAGCGTATTTATTATCTGAACTCTGTATTGCAGACAGCTTTTTAAAGTGTGCTTGTTCTTGTGTCTGGAAACTAATGGGAAAAACTTGCTGGTCTCAAAGGACTCGTTATTGCTTCTTTAAAAAAAAATGGAGAGAAAGTTCACCTTGTCATTTTGTCATCATAATCTGTGATAAGGAAATTTTGGGTCTGTTATTGTGGCCACTCTTACGTGTATAACTTCGGAAGGAGCCCTCATTTCCTTATTATCTCATGACACAATGAGAACAGTTGCAATGTTTCAGGTCACACAAAGTGAAAAGTCTCTGAAAGGAATATGGAGACTGTAATTGGCCGCGATGATATGCTAGTTGTTTTGTTTAGGAACAGAAATTGCCAACGTATTGGATGCTTCACCTAAGTAAAGATTATAATCCTGGTGGTACACATGTTAATTTGACTACTAATAATTACTGTCATAAATAATATTATTGTCCAGATTGCTGCTGTTTTCATGATCTAGAACTGTTAATTAGAATGGTTTCTGTTCTCATGTTATGCCTATTTTGTAAATATCTAATTGCTTGTATGCACAGGAGCGCAGAATGGAGAAGAAAGCCAACAAGCTAGCCTTCAGATTGGAGAAAACAAGGCAAGAAAAAGAGTTGCTCAATCTGAAACAAAACGTTCAAGGACTAAAGCTGTCTTGATGAAACTGAGGCACTTTTTGTGGAAATATCCTGAAGTTTTCATTTATATTGAGAAGGGAGCTGCTAAGTCACAGCTTTTCCAGTCATACACAAAGGAGGTTATTCAGATATTGCTGTAACGAGAACTGGTAACTTGCCATTCTTTCTGAAATTAAAATCTACATAATACAGTGCATTAGTGATGTTTATTCTGTCATGAGTGACATGGCAACTGTTGCAAAGTTTCATTACAGTACAAATGTATTAAAATTATAAAAAAGTATTTTTCTTACAAGCTGTCACTGGACAAAGTTTTTATATATATTTGTTGAATATATGCTACAGATCAGCAGAATCGTACAGGTTTGGATGAAATTCTTCTATTAAATTATTTCAGTTTACAAAGCCGTATATCCATTTATGTTTTCTCTCCCTTGTGCTGATGGTTAAAATATAGTGCCTTGATATAGCACAGTTCTGTAAGGCAAGGAGTTTTCACCCTCTCCTTAGTTCTTTTCTAGGTTGGTTGTTTATTGTTTGAGTACTATTATGAAAGACATAAAGTAACTTTCTGTAAATAAAGGCATCTGAAAAGCTGCTGCATAGGTAGAATCTCTGTTACCTGGCCTGAGTTTTACTTTTCTTAGCAAATAAAGTCTGTTGCAACAAGTGTTGAAGTAGTCAGTGATCCTTACTGTTGCTGTTAAAATCAACTTTGAAAGTACTCTGAGTAGTACGGTAAACAAAACAGCAGGTACTTGGAAAAATACTGTCTGTTGCAGATAGCTGTTGTCTTGAGATTCCTGAAATAGTACTCTCGGGTCTTGCATTCAGTTTGGTTTCACTGAAATACAAGCTTGCAACCCACTGCAATTGTTGCAAAGACACTCTGAAGATGAGCAGAGTATCTGTGGTCTGTATCTTTAGTAAGGGCACGGTCTTAAATTTCTGTACTGTGTGTGTGAATTACTCTGATTGTGAGGAGGCTATACATGTGAATGAAATGGATACAGTTTAGTCAGTTGTTCTGTATTCATAAGAAACCCTCAGCTTTAGCACTGTACTGAGCAATGTTTTGCCTTTGAGTGAGAAGTTAACTATTTTACTGGTGAGGATCACAGTAACTGCTTTACTACTACTACTACATTCAGAGCATTTTAAATATTCCTTAAATGGTTTTGCAAATAGTAGATGGAGGCAAGATAGCAGAAGGACTAATGAGGCCTTTTAACATACAGAAGCAATTCAGAGTACTTGTTTTTATTGGAAGAAGGCTTTTATAATATATTTTAATTGATAGAGTAACATGGTTTTGGAGAATGGAATGAACAGGTATTTAAGACTGCAAGTCTTTTGATCACTGCTCAGAAAACTGACATGTCAATACAGTTTTCACATCTAGATTAAACCATCATTTTTGGAAGTTGTTCAGGAGTCCGTGTTAACCAAATCAGTAGGAATCACCTGTAAGGTCAGAATAAATCTGGAGTTTTCATTTAGTTTGTATCTGTGCTGGTTTCCACATTTCACAGGCGTGTGCAGGGTCTGCCTGTGTCATAATTGTTTACGGAATTGCTGACAGTGACTTGAATTGTGAGCTTTTGTGTAATGAGGGCTGAGCACCAAGTACTCATGACTCCTGACAGCAGGGCAGAAGAGGAACTTTGAGAAACCATCCTGCTGGGATGAGTCAAATACCAGGAAAGGAGTTAAATGGAACAAGTGAGTAACAGATGCTGCTCACTGGTTTAGGTGAAGTGTGGGTTTGTGATCTGCTGAAAAGAAGTGTCTTTCACCAGGGCCAGCGTTGCATGTTCTTTACTAGTCCTTAACTTGTCTGCAATTGTTTGTGTCTTAGGTTACTGATCTTCTGTGACAAATTGTCATTCCCGACTTCTCATTTCTGATTCAGTGATACTGTGCTTGTACATAAATTCATTTTAAACCCGAAACAAGCTGTATCAGTCAAAACCTTCAGGAGATGAGAATGGAATAAAGGAGATAGGAGAGGCAAAGGAAGACCCGTGAAAGGAAGTATATGGTCCCATCTTAGCACAGATCCACAGAAAGGTGTTGCTTGGGAGCAAAAGTGGAAGGACATGAGTAAAAAAGTTACAGAATTGCTTTCTTCCACTACATTTGTAATCACTGAAATGCTGGACTAACCTTTACTCTGGAGTGTGGTAAAATCTGAAGGAAAAGGTAAGAAACAAAAGCAGTCATACATCTGCTGCTGCACAGCAAGACAAGGATTTTTTTTGTTTGTTTCTGCAAGAGCAGGTAAGAAGCACTTAACTGAGAAGTGTTTCTCTCTTGTAGGTTACACATCTCATGAAAGGGGGCCTTTATTACTGTTCAAGTTTTCCTAAAAGGTCTTTTTAATACAAGTAATATCACTGCTTTGAAATGGGAATAGATGACTACCATTGGAGTCAGAAAGGCTTAAAACTACTTTCCAAGTAACTTAAAAGCCTGTTTTTTCCAAAACCTACTCATTAAAAAACCAAAAACATCCCCACAAGTTTGACATCCACGAAGTAAGATCATCTTGGAATGCTGTTTAGCGTGTCATGAAAACGTTCTATCTTAAGATTGTTGTCACGGTTACTGTGACACCTGCTGCTTTCTGAAATAGCAACAATTTACTCTGATTTGTTACTGGGCATCACGAACTGCTGGTGGCTTACAAACCAAACGGAATAAATCTTGGAGCAGATCGCCTGCTCTTGCTTCCCAGCCCCACTCCCTGAATTTAGGCAGCAATTGAGTTGAGTCCTTTTCTGTCACCTCCTTACCCTACCGTGGTGTCATTGTGAAAGGACATACCCGAGCAGTCATGTGGAAAACAAGAAGCTGCCCTTCGTAGCAAAGGAGAGCTTTGCTTCATAGGAACAAGATAAATAATGGAGTTCTGCAAAAGGGAGCCCTGGGATGTGACTGTCCATGTCCCTTTCTGACAAGGAAATACTGTTTCAGCGAGGGCTCAGTTTAAACTATGGCTCTGCTGTAGTCAAGTCATCCCGTAGTGTGTAACTGAGACCGGTCTGAATTTTACACAGCTGCCCGAAGTCAGGATCTGACTCCGTGTACAACCTGTGGAAGATATTTTGCACAAGATGTTCTGGTAAAACAAAACTTCCTCTTTTTTTTCCTTTTTTTTTACAGGGAATGTCAATGCATTTAGCTGAAAAGGGTGGTGAGCACTAGGAAAGGAGGAGGTGGCTGCTAGCCTAGGAATGGATTGAACACATGTTTAAAAGAGCAAGCGATCTAATAATCGCTTTCATTAGTGAACTTGATTAAAGAATTAATGAATGTGCACAGAAAAATGTGCACAGAGACTTCAATCTGCAGTCTCACACCATCCTAATTTACCTGCTTGTCCAAACCCAGATTTTACTGTATATTCCATTTAAAATAACGTATTATCTCTTGGTGAGACATAAATTACTAACCTGAAGCTTCCTTTGTGTTCCAGGATTCTAGGCAGAATTTGTTATTTCAGGCTTCCTGGGAAAAATAGACTAATAAACCATCTGATAAGTAGTGCCTTTGACAGCATAATGCAGGCACCAGGCTCTGTTCTAAAGGCTGCTGAAGTGAATGAAAAGATTCCCCCTGACCTCCCTGATCCCTGGATTACAAACTAAATGGGTGGCTGCACAGTTTGCCTGGCATAACCCAACTGTGCGGCTATTCTGTAAGGATGGGGGATGCTCTGCCTGCACCCCTCTCCTTCTCATTTTGCATTACTGATCTGGCTCTGAGGTAGATCAGATCAGGCCAATAATAGAACTGAAAGCTGACTTAGAAAAAAAAAAAAAAGAAAAATACCCTGGAAGCTGAGTGACTATGAGCCTTGAGACGAAGGTGGAACAAAGTAGTTCCATGTTTGTTATATCAGATATGTGAAGAACACAATGGTTTAACCTAGGAAAATATCTTGATAAGACAGCTGTGTTGTGGTAAGATCAAGAATAACTGAGAACTGAAAGGAGGACTAAGCGAACGAAGATATGAACAGGGGCTTTAATTTACCAGCTGCGGATGGGCTCAAATAGGTGTGATCCACAGTACAAGACAGGGGAAGTAGTTTGGTCCTTGCTTTCAGTGTTTCTCACAAAGGGGATTGCCCATCCTGTTGGAGAAGGGTAAGCTTGATGCTAAAATCTGAGGCACTTTTGAACCTTAAGACTTTGTTCCTTGTGAAGTGTGGCTCTTCCAAATATTCAGCACAGGAGATCTATCCACCCAAAATTTCCCTGTGCTTTCAGCTGCCGCTGTTACCCCTAGTTTTCCTTTTGAGCTGTGGGGTTCTGTGTGCTGGTGTGCAGCTGCCCCCTTTCAGCCTGGTATTGATGGGATCGACAGTGCCACTGTTTGTCAGGTGAGCCCCTGGTCTGCAATACTTATCTAAACTCAAAGAACGAATAGTGAAGTATCGACCTCTGGAACAGGATCAGTCTGTTCTCCCTCTTAACCAAGAAAGAAAGAAAAACAAGTGTGGTGGTGAAGGGAGTCCATTCACAGACCCATCCTGTTTTTCTCTGGAAGTCGTTACTTGTGCTGGCCTCCAGCATGTCCCTGAGCAGAACAAACTGGAAATAGCTTCTGTTTCTTATTTGTGATGAACTGCAGCTGTGCTTTTAAAGTTTTACTGAACTCCTTCAGGAGTTAAACTGAACCTGAAATAAATACTGCTTCATCTTTCTCCTCCTGAATAGAAGTAAATTTAAAGCCTGAGTAAGGAAGCATCATTAACAAAGCATGACTTCAACCCATAAACGACTATTTTTCTTTGCATCCCAGCTGAGACATGATCCAATATGCAAGAAAGTCTTCAACAAGAAGTGCAAGCCCTTCAATTCTTTGAAACGGAGACTGCAGGGAACAGCTATCACCACTGTGAAGAAGCAGACCCTGCAAAAGGTATAGCTAAAATTGAAGCATGTGTGTTATCTCCCTATGAAGTTTTTTATTCGGTAACGTTATTGTTTCCTCTGAGGACAAAGCCTGGATGTTGTGGATGAGTCTCACATATGTGCTTGACTCTGTGCCAAATTCTTTCCTCTCCCTCCCTGTGCTGCTGTCAGAATGTTTCTCCACTCGGAAGCCAAACCAGTAGGTGTCACAACTACTCCGGGCACATAAGTGTCTCTTCTCTTCTAGGAAATGTTTGTATGTGTATTTTAAAGACTATGCGACTCTGACAGCTTCCTCTTAAATCTGAGAGTGACCCAAGATGGTTGGTGCATGAATGCCCCAGGCTGAACCTGCAAGCTGTCAGTACTCCCAAATCTACCACAGATGATGCTACCGAGATGCACTGCTATGGAACTCAAGGGTTTAAAAATGAAAATTGAACTTATTTACAGAACTGGAAGGAAAGAGGCTTAAGCTCTTACTGGAACAAGTTTTCATGCGTTGTTGGGGAGGAGGGGAATACACATAGATGTGCATGTGTGTAATTTTACCCAGAGATGCCAAATCACTGCTGATTTGATATCCATGCAGACCGCTGTTGCAAAATGTCCTATAAAATCAGCTATGGAAAGAAATAGAAGTGCAGAAAGGTTTAAAGCAGGAAGAAGAATTTGACAAGTGGAGGAAAAGGAAAGGCATTGGTCATAGTGTCTTTTCTATTCCCTCTTAAGTGCCCTTTGGTCTGCCATGACCAGAATGTTCTGTTGGAGTCCATTGTTCTTTTATCCATCTTCTGGTGCTGTCAATAGATAGCAAAGTGCTAAATCAGCTTTCCTATTCCATTCAAAAAAAGCAAATTTCTTTTGTTTGTAACGTTTTTCCTTTCCATCAGAAAAGAAGAACTCTCACTCTAAGATTTTTCTCTGTCCCTTGCAAGCGGGAAGCATAATTTGTGTCTTCCTTTATTTCCATTACAGAAACAGCCAGTGAAGAAATCTAACTGGAGGCAGCACCAAGAGGATTTTATTAATACTATTCGATCAGCCAAGCAGGTCACAAAAGCTCTGAAGGAGGGTCACCCTCTTCCACCTCCTCCCCCACCAAGCAGCAATCCAGGCTTGTGGTCTACTTTACCTTTTTACTGTTCTTGTACTAGTCTTTAGTAAAGCAGTGACCTCTTATTATCCACAGCTAGGCTTCAGTTTTGCACCACTTGGCACAACATGAACATTAATTCCCTTCATATTCTAATTTTCAGCTGTACTTCTTGGCTTAAATTGAGTAGGAATGCAATGCAGAAGTGGTGGAGAGAAAGAGAAAACTAACTGTATCTTCCGAGTTCAAGAGCAGCAAGTTTTGGGTCTGATATTCAACAATGCTTTAGGAGGAGATTTGTGATGCCTGTGTTCTAGCACAGGCTGTACCACTGTATAACAGCAGGTGAAATACATGCCCTCACCGTTCAAAACAACTGTAGTGCAGATGAGCTTCTCCACTCCCATATGGTGGCTTTGCCACTGTCTCCTTCCCCATCCAAATGTGCAAACAGGGCAAGTCATTTAGAAAAAGACTAGTCAGGTTTATAACTAACAGCAGGTGTGGATTCTGCACAGAGCTCACCGTGTTAGAGTTACGGATTCAAGATCCACATACAGCCAATACTTCTCACGATATGTGATTTATGAAACACGGGAGCAATCTTGGAAAGGGTCTCAGTCAATTCCTGCCTGTGTTAGGGAGGCGAAGGGTGGGAGGGGGAAAGGAGCGTTCTCTGGGCTCACTTCCAGAGCCGGAATTCGTGACTGATATCAAAACCAGCTGCTGTGCCTTTCTTCTCTTCTAGATGACAGTCATGCAGTATAAGCAACAGGACACATCTTCCTTCCTTGATTGGGGTCAAGCGCTTCTCTGAATTTCCACTGCTGAATTCTTTAATGACTCTATTATTTCTTGTCTGACTGTACCAGCTCGAAGAGCACCCCTCCCTTTCCTCCTTCTTCTCGGAGGAAACCAAGTTGTACAAGAGCAGCAGTAGCTGTGGTGAAAGGGATTGAAAAAAATGCATTTTAGGAAAGACAGACTGCTGAGGGGCTTAGTGAGGATGCATATCCTGAACTACAGGACTGGAGAGAAAGCACATGGGTTGTAGGGAGGAGAGAGAACTATTGCCCTTCCCTCTTCTTCCTCCTTCAAATAGAGCCCAAAGATCCCTGTTCTCACCTGAAGTGTCAGGTCCCCCCGCCACCCCTCCAAAACCAAACATCTGCCCTGCCTTGTCCTCCCCATCCCTGTGTTCAGAACCATTTTGCCCGTTCTGCTCATCTGGAGCTGGCTTTTGGTGGCTGTTTGAACCACCTTTTCCAAGCTGTTATCCAGCAGAACAATTTGTAAAAATGCCCTCTCTGTAATATTAGGAAAAGGACACTTGGGCTGCTTTTGTAAAAGGCTCTGGGCAGGGAGGAAGGGTCTGTGCAAGGGCTGATTGTGTCTGCACTGACCCTCAACACTGACTGTTCACTGAAACAAGTAGGACTGCACCAGTTTTAAATGTTGCTGAATAGCTTTTAGCAGAATCAGGATGGTAACACCGTCAGAAGTGATTCTAGGAAGCACTCCAGTGTGTTCCTCACAATACTGCTTCGCACCCCGAAACCTGGATCTCGGATGTGCCTCAGCTGGCAGCACACAAGTTCTTCATCAGTGTTTTGCTGTATTCAATCTTAATGACCCATCTTCAAAAGAAGTCTTAAAATCATTGGGTTTGACTACTCTGGGAATTTTTTTAAAATGCTTTTCCTGCAGACCTGTTAATTGTGAGGCTGGGAGTGGGAACAGGGCAAATGTAAAAAAATCTGCTTTTATTAATCTCCAGGGATTTGTTTCTGAAAGCAATTACTGTTTGCTGGGCTAATACTGTAAGCATGTATTTGAAGAGCCCAAGTGCTTTTCCAGAGGAGGTTTTTGTAGTTCTCAGTTTGTACTTTGGGAGCTGACGGGAACTCACCATGGGTCACCTGCTGATGGAGCCAGGTTTTGAATTGCATCTTGAGTGCTCCTGTGAAGCAGGGCAATCCTTCTCCTGTCATGTATAAACTATGACACGAGTTGTTTCTTTCTTATGGTCAGACTATATTCAGTGTCCACACTGCTCACGAAGATTTAATGAGGCTGCAGCACAGAGGCACATCAGGTTTTGTGATGAACAGGCTGCCCACCGTGCTTTGCTGCAAAGACCACCAGAAAGACTTCAGTAAGCAAACAGCCACACTTGTCTTGTCCCGGAGGCAGATTGGCCAAACTGTAGTTTAGGGTGAGTAAAGACCTATATTAACAGAAAACTCAAGATTCCAGGGAAACTGGTAAGCTCTTAAGACAGGATACATGCTGAATATCAGCTAGAAGTTCCCTGAAACTGGAGCCCTTTATCTGATACAAAAAAGTGACAGAATATGATAGTATGGAAAAGACTGCTGACAATTTCTTCAGGCTGCTCTGCAATTGGATTCCAGGGGAAGAGCTGTAGGGAAGCAGAAACCTGGAGCTTTTGTAATACATAGAGAAAGCTTTCTGTTCGCTAGGGCTCCCTGCTGCTGGCAAGTTTGCTGTTCCCTGCAAACGTACAGCTGATTTTTTTTCCCGTGATTACTAGACACAAGGACAAAGGGTTAAGCCCCTCTGGGGACTCAGAAAAGTGGAGCTAACAAGCAGTTTCTTGAAGTAAGCTCCTATTTTATTATCAGAACAAAAATACGTAAGTAATGCACACAGTTCCTTTAGGAGAGCACTGAATTTTTATCTTTTTTTTTTTTTTTTAGGATGTTTGAAAACCTTATTACTCTTTTTACCTATTTTGGGCAGGAAAAAATGACTTCCAAGTGGGAAGGGGTGCACCTTTCTCCTGTTCATAGAATCATAGAATGGCCTAGGCTGGAAGGGACCTTGGAGATCATTTTAATCCAGCCTCCCCGTCGCCAGGGATGCCATCTGTCAACTACATCAGACAACACATGGGGACTCCTTGCTAGCACTGCTTCAACAGCGATTTGGAGAGTTTTTACTGGGCTCCATAAGCTCCTTGCTATAGTGTGGGTTGTGTGTCCTCTTTTACTAGCGCAAGCAACCGGTCACTCAGAAAAAAACCCCAACATTAACAACTGCTGTGTCATTTCTTCAGAAGAGAATACAAGAAGGTGCCAATACAGATGAACCCTGTCCAGGTAAGGAGTTTGTTTAGCTGTATTTATGCTTTTCTTACAATAAACTCTGATGGCTTTGGAATCCAGTTTTCTGATAGAGTAATAAAGTTGAATTTATTTTATTTATGGCTTTCTAAGTCATTATCCTGATCCACTTTGCTGAGTGCTTACACAAAGTTTTTAATGTGGGCCCTCAGGAGGGACTTCCTAGCCCTCTCAATTAGAGGTCCTTAAGCAGAAGTATCAATATAGACCTAAAATACACAGTCTGGGTATGAGATTTCTTCTGTATTATGAAAGACTCCATAACCTTTAAGCTTTGATTTTAAGATTTATTTCATCTTCTTTGCCTTTTCTTAAGTCCATATAGACAAAGCATCAAGCTTTGTATGTTGTTTGTATCATATGACTTTCCCCTTGTTGATATAGCCTTAAAATTAACACCACTACATCCCTAAAAGAGTTCTTTCTAAGCAGGATACCATATAATATGTCTGCTACCACCCACGGCTACCAGTGATTTTGACCCATATTCAGTCTATGTTTAGAAGATGGTTTATAAAGTTATTTTAATGGCTATTTGTAGTATAACTTGTGAATGGTAATACATACTGCTCTGTGCATCAATATCTTTGATCCCTATTTTTCTGGGGTTTATGTTGAATTTATGTAGGCTATAATTTTTTATGGCAAGTAAATTTTTAAAATAATGATCTGCAGAGACCTCTCCAGCAATACGGAAGAAAACTAGAAAATCTTTTAATTTACCTACTGGAAGAAAATCTTCAGGAGAGTTTGGGTAAGAAACGTGTTGTTTATTTTTTTTTTTAATTTCAACATTATCACAGAATCATCGAATGGCCTAGGCTGGAAGGGACCTTGGAGATCATCTAGTCCAACCTCCCTGTTATGGGCAGGGATGCCTCTCAACTAGATCAGGATACTCAAGGCTTATAACAGGATCTTGTCACTTTTGAGTATATACAACATCTTGTTGCAGTGTTTGCAGTATGAACTTCTGTGTATTAACTGAAGCAATCAGTTGCATTGAAAACTTTTGCAGAAGTCCTCATGTCCCCAGTATAGGCTGCTGAGAATATTCATTTTGGTGCTAAATATTCTTTAGTATAGAGCAGCTCCATCTCAAGTAGGCCGTGACTGTGTTCCACCATAACAGGCATCTTGAGAGGATTTGCTTCATGATAATGTAAACCTCTCTGGCAGGGCTTGTGCTCTCATGATGCGCTTTCGTTGTCCAAGTGAGGAAGATGTCAACATCCCTTTCAATGGTCACTATGTCAGGATGACACTGTGGAGGTTGTTTACTATACCAGATCATGTTGGTGTTTGGTGCTTCTGCTCTTCAGACCATGTGGGCAGCGTTGGTCATGCAGAGCAATGTCAGAGAAGTGAGAAGGCCTTCCAGTACCTGCTTAAGGTGGTTGTGGTGCTGTTGCGCAAGGAGATGGCTCAGGTGATCAGCATCTTGTACCCCTGAATATGAGATCCTGGCAGGGAATGTGGCCAAGACAAAAGCCCTGTAGCTGGCATGGTATTTTGAGCCTCGGAGATGAGCTTTCAAGAGTGCTTAGAGCATGGGATGAACAGTAACATGCACAAGTCTGTTCCAGAGACTCACATTCAAAGTCTTTGCAAGGTTCTTCTAGAGGGAGTTTTGCTGTCCTTGACTGCCCCTGGTCAGTGGCTACACAGCTACAGCTGTAGGGGAGAGTGCAATGGGCATGGGAGTGTTCAGTCCATGGTGCCATCAACGCTACCTACCTTGACTTTGCCAGCCACAGGGAAAAGTGCTGACAGTACCTAGTGGTCTTATCTGGTGTTCTCCACTCCCCAGATTACCTGTGACTACACTAACTGTGTAATAACTCTTACGGGTATCAGGCACAGTCCTGGGGACCACCAGCAGGGATTTATCAATACCATCACCATTCTCAAGGTTTAGCCACTGAACTCTGAAACTTCAGGCTTGACAAGCTTGGGGAGGAGGCACCTCTTCCCCTAGGGACGCTGGTGACTCCACTTATCACTGGGGCTGTGGTTGTGGCCAGGTTACAGAAGCTTGGGACAGGTGCTGCTTCCAGCAGGTCCCCAGGACAGACGTCCATGCTAGTGTCCAAAATACAGGAGAGAGTCCTGTGTGTCCCTGGGAACTGTGGAACCAACAGGCCTGAGCGAGCTTATACGTGCTGGGCTGTTGGCAACTGCTGCCATATTTTCTGAAAAACCTGAGCTTTGCCAGGTGCTTTACAAAGCACTTTGGGCTAGTTAAGAAATCAGTTTCAGTGCTACTCACGAGTGCTTTTTAGCCAAGAAAGTAGACATGAGAAACTGACCTTCTGAGTGGTGCAAATAAATGTTCTCATCCTTTATGTGCCTGGAATCAGTTTCCAGGATGAGCTGCTCCATCACCTTCCCAGGGATTGAGGTTTAATCTTCTTAGATAAAATGGAGTAAAATATGAAAGCTTTTTTGATAGAGTTAACAAATATATGGCTTTTTGCTGCTTTCAGACTGCACATGCACAACAGAAAGTAGAGTGGCTGGTCGGCAAGAACGTGTTAATGATTTCCTCTGGCACATTATGGAAGACCTTAAGCAACATGATATCCCAGCACCTCTTGCACCTAAAGTGCTATAGCTGCCATAATAAAATAAGCAAACTGCAATTCACTGTCTCTTTTTTTTTTTTTCTTTTTTTTTCCCCCAGGCTACAAAGCTTATTATGTTGTCCTTTTTTAGGTTGTGAGATTTTTTTGTTATCAATTGCCAAAACTTAGGAAGCTCTAGTATTATGTGATTCTTCTTTTTCCCTAACAATTTGTTTTGGTATGTTGAACAAGACAAATGAACATTTTGGAATTTCATGTGTATACTTATTAATAGACTCTTCCAGTAAACAATAAATGAAAAATGATAGTGATTCATAACTGATAAATGGCCATGTATGTTGTGCATCAGGTTCAAAGCACTTCAAGTTCAGACTAATTGAAACCAAACCTCATTCTCGCATTAAAACCTTTAACTCCTATTAGAAATTGTTTGATAAGACAGAAATGCTGTGAAGGCATATCCTTCCCTATTTTTGGCCACCTGACCTACCTTGCTTAAACTTTCAATGTTGTAACACGTTGGGCTTGGTGGGGTTTTTTTAGCCCAACCATTTCCAGTAAGGCTTTCAATTAAAATCCACTAGGAATTTTCTTACCTATTAAACACTCATAAAATAAGCGAAGATGAGAAGTAGCTGAGCACAGCAATAATAAATACCAGACTTTACAGAGTTTAATTAACTCTCCTTGGGCTCTAGCTAATAGCGGTTAGATAAGAACAGAAAGGATGATACTGAAGCAAGTGTAACAACTCCTAGAACTAGACTCTTAGAAACAGGGGGAATGAAATTAACCCAAATATAATAAAGCAATGCTGCTTAACCTTTTTTTTCAGTCTGGGAAGAAGAGGGTGAAAAAAAATAAGCCAAACAACAAGGCATATAGTGAACTATCCTGTGCAACGTTATCACAATTGCTTTCTTTTACAGCCATAAAGTTTTACCATATTTGTTTTTGTTTTGTGTGCCTCCTGCTATTTTCTGCCCATGTGTAGCAGTGATTGATCTCACAGCTTGTTTTCCAGTATCTTACAGAAAACATAGAGGCTAGAACAGTGTATCAAAGAACAGTACTTAAAATTCTGCTAGCAGGAAATTATCAATCATTAATATATGGAATGTACCATTGTATTTTAGACTGGCTGGGGAAAACTCTCTGGAATTAACAGGAATTCATTGGTTAAGAAAATGGGAGAGTCCTAACAGGAACAGTTGGTAAATAAAACTGAAGGGAAAAAGAAATTAACATGGTTTCTGATAGGGAATGGGATCTGAGCACTAGAAAAACCTGTGTTCACACAGAGGAAGCAGAGTCTTTTGTTATATGTAGTATAATTTTAGCTCCTTAACATTATTTCAACAGGCTTACATAGCTTCCTTTTTTTGTTTGTTTTTTTAAAACTATATATATTTATGTAAAATGAGTACATTTTTTTTGTATGAGACCAAATGTTTACTAGGTTTTTGCTATTTCACAGTACCATTTGGTTACAGTAATTCTGTTGTTTGGCTGCCACATGGTGCTCTGCTTCTACAGATTTTTTCAGGAAGAGCTCAGATAAAAGAGTATTTTTATCTCTGTTATGATATAGAATCATAGAATCATAGAATCGTCAGGGTTGGAAGGGACCTTAAAGAGCATCTGGTTCCAACTTCCCTGCCACGAGCAGGGAAAACATCCTAACATCTTCCAGAGGGTCAGACCTTGCCGTTCCATCTCTTCATTGCTGTGCCATGGTCTAACCCTACCTTTGCCATGCCAGCTCTCTGCCCTCGCATCCTCCTCTCTCATTTGGAGCTGGAATGGGCTGTGCCTGCAAGGAGGGAGGACCTGGTTGGTACCACGGGCATGTGTCAGGCCACCTCTCCCTACTCCCGTGCTATCGCATCCCTGCATGAGCTAAAGGCACACGTGTGCCACCAGACACGTCCTGCAGCTCTTGCTACCTTCTCCGCTGTCATCGCCCCAAGTCGCTCTCACCTGCTGCAGCCTCGTCCTTTCGGACACCACAGGTGAGCCCAGAGAGAGCTGGTAAGGAATTGCTGGTGTCTCCACACTTTTCCCTTAGCACTGCTTTGCCTGTGATCTTATGCCCAGAAGTAAACTCCTGCACTCAGCAATGCGATATTCAGGCCCACAGCAGGCAGGGCTACTGAGCCCAAAGAATTTACTTGCCCAGAAACACAGTGGTCCTGAGCCTCAGCTACTGATGGCCTCTCAAAAACGCTCACTGAAGGTCCCCTAATAAAAGCAATGAGAAAGTCCAGCTCTGCTTCAAGTATTAGATGACTCAAGGGTATCTCCTGAGTGATGAGAATTTTTTGCTAACACAATCTTTTGAAATAACTTGCCTTTCTTTGTGATGGGACATCATCACCTTCCTCTATGTTTATGACACCAAGAATCTGGAAAACGAAATTTGAATGGACTGAAAATTTAAAGCGCTAAGGTTTGTTTCTGTGTTTTACTTGTAGACACCATCATTGTGTGCTGCTTAGGCATTTTAATATCAAAAGTGGTTATCTTTTACTTGAATGAGTCTTGTGGTATTTAACTCCTAGTCATATACAATAAGCACCTCTCACTGATGCATCTTTCCACGTTTCAGAAGAGGCTGAGCTCAGAGCTCAGGCACTTTAGCAGGGGCTAAAGTCAAGCTGCTGAAAGAACGTGGGTGCCAGTCTAGCTCCATGTTTCTGTCACATTTTCTTCTTTAACATTTTAATTCAAAGGAAAGTATTTCAGTACTTAGTTACATCTCCTATAGACGCACAAACCAAAATGACAAAAAGTCTATTAACAATATATGATCAGACAGTTTGACAAAATTTGTGGGAAGCTTTCTGCTGACTTGTGGGTTTGTTTGGGGTTTTGTTGTTGTTGTTGTTGTCGTCGTCATCGTTGTGTTTCTTTTTTTACAAATACATAAGCTTGGATGAAGCCAAGTGAATACAATTTGCATGAGCAAGGAAAACAATGAAGTAAGTGAATATTCACGCATCTTTCCAAGTCCGGATGAAAAGATGAGCCCAGCTGTAATCTGTGCATGTAACATTATTTGCAACCTCTTCCCTATTCTGGAGCTTGTAATTTAAATAACTGCTAACTGGGCATGACTGTGCAGCATCTGCTCTCCCCCCTGCTGTTGTCCTTACAAGAATGATCTTAAAATTCTTTCTGGTTGGCCTTATGCCAACAATTTTCATCACAAAAAATACCCATTAAGAGCGTATCTGAAGAACATATTCTCACATGAACTGCTATAATACCTCTCTTTAATCTAAGTGCTGATAAGCTTATAAGAATATTTGGATCACTGTAGTTGTACAATGGCACTGTAGTTCATGAACAGCAAAACAGCAATAATTTAAAAATATTTTTTATTTCAAGCTGTCTGGAAATATTCCTGTGATTAATGGGGGAGAAGAGAACATGCTTGCTTCACGCAATATTTGTATGATCATTAGGTACGATTAACCCTCTTTAGATTTAATAGAAGAGTAGCTCTCGGGGTTTGAGAATTTACTCAGATTCAGAAATTCTGTTTCAGCTGCAGCAGAATCCATTAGTAACTGCAACATCCACTAAAACCAGTATTGAAGAAGTTTTGTGAAGAGTTTGTTGCTTGCTTGGTTTTTTTCAATAATGTCACCTACTGGGAAATGGGATTTTTGCAGTTTCTCCTAGTTCATGCATCAGATGATAGGAATGTCACACCAACACACTGTCAGGTGGAAATGTACACGGACAATTTACCCCAGGAACCAAACAAAAGTCCCTACGGTTCTGGTTTGGAAGAAACAAAGGCTGGAAGTCCAACTGCAGCTGTCCCAATGCTAATGAGCAAAACTCTTGTGACTAAAACGGCCCTGACCATCACACCCACTGATTTCAGGCGACACTTGGGAGACAGGTTCATAATCTGATTTTTGACCAGGACCTGGCGCTGACTCACCACCACAACCGTGCTGTGTGTGGACCTGCCCCTGGCCCCGCAAAGGTCCCGCTTGGGCACAGGTTCCCCTGGGCCACTGTTGGCCTTCCATTAATGAAATCCACATTTCAGATGGCTACGATTAATAATCATTTCCCAGACTGTGTTCACAAAGGCCATTTTTAATCACCAAAAGGTGAATAAAGGCTCCTTAGGTAGGATGTATGATTTTTCATTGTGTTAAATCGATCACTGTTGACCCAATGGGATAACAGATACTTAAATTTAAGCAAACACTTAAGTGCTTTACTACAGAGCCACCAGTGTCCGATACCTTGCCAGATTCAGCTCTAAGTTAAAATTAATGTTTTGCTCTAACATTTGAGACAATTCACTTCCCATTCTGAAACCTGCACACACACAAGACATCAGTTCAGTTCTAAAGTCATGCAGAAATGGTAGATATTTCCAGCCCCAGGAAAAAAAATGCAGAAGATGCACACAACTGAAGTGCGCTTCAGAAAACAAAATCTCGTTAAATGCAGTCACAGTAGTGACCTTCTTCATTTAAGAAAAGAAAAACAAGGAGGTAAGATTTACTCTTGGAATGATTCTGGTTTAAATAAAAGATTCATAAAGTTCAGCAATTAAGTGCTTAACAGAAATCCATGATGTTGATAAATCATTTGTAACATTTGTCACTTGTATAAATTTGCTGCAATTTATGGCTCACTAAAATTATTTTTCTGTGATTTCCACCTTCTTCCCATTTATCCTAACCCTATTTCTCCTACCCCAGCAGCCACAGTTTTATTGTGCCTGTTATGATGCTTTGCTATCATTGCAGAGGTTTATCCAGTTGCTTGCGTGAAAGGTAAGAAACAAAAATAGGGTGTTGAGGGAAATATGTTAGTTCTACTATTGTCATATGCTAAAAAACTAATGGTAGTATGAAAAATAGAGCTTCTTGTTTATTAACATCCTGAATTTAACTATCATGTTTGTAACATGCTTTGAAAACATTTGGGGCAGTTTTTCTGAACAACAAACCAAAACCACCCCAGCCTAACAGATTTAAGAAAGAAGCACAGTCTTAAAAAAAAAAAAAGGGAAAAAAACCAATCCACTGTGATAGTTATTTGAAGGCATGGTGAAAATGAGGCAATGTTACAGAATTTGTAGTGGGTGGGAAGGAGCGAGGAAGATGATGCAGCTGGTTTATGGCCATCCCACCAGCTGCTAGCTGAAGACCTTGCTGTTGGCTGAGGCCATTCAGCCTGTGTGGTGGTTCCTCTGGACCAAATGCCATTGCAATGTCCCCAGTAGTGGCCTGGTTGTCACCTGGTGGGAGCTGCCAGAAACTCATCACATGAGTGAGATCCATGAAAGGCAGGCTCATAGGTTCAGCTGCTGCCTCCGTGTCCTTGTGCACTGGGTACTTGTTAGTATCCCCTACAGGCCCTGAGGAAGCTTCTTCTAGACTGATTTTGGGGAGAGATTGAGGTTCTGGTAATGGCAGGTCCTCAAGAAGATGCATGTTGTAACCTTTAACATCTACTTTTATCGGCAGATTCTTGAGGGATCCTGCTGCGAATGAGGTAGAACTAAGGTCGTATTTATTAGGCTGATGAAGGTTCAGGTTGGCAGGAACAGCTGCTGAGCACGGTGTGGGATGGACAGCTGGAAGGCTGTCTACACAGCCCATCCTTTGCAAATGAGGAGAAGGTTCAAGAGGAAGAGCAGTTTGTAAGTTTGGCTGGGAATGGAGATGTGAACAGTTGTACTCCTCTGATTCTGAACTATTCAAAATGCCATTCTGCACAGAGACCCTTTCGGGAAAAGGAGACAGTATGCTGGCATCTTCCTTCAGTCTGAGTGGAAGAAGCTGGTCAAGGAGACCCACTGAGTCACTGTTCTGCAGCCTGCTCTTCAGCAATTCTTGTGGATGAGTCTTCCTAGTATGGCGAGTCAAGTGGTCCTTTCGTCCAAACCTCTGGGCACAAAACTGGCACAGAAAGTCTTTGCAGCCTGTGTGAACCACCATGTGACGCCGCACATCTTTACGGGTATAGAAGTGACGCTCGCAGTGGTCACACTTATGCTTCTTTTCCTTCATATTGCCATTTGGTTTCCCTGCATGGCTTTTGAGATGTTCCAACAAAACTTCAGTACCGCCAAACTCCTGGGCACATACCCTACAGGTAAGGTCCCCGCTGGTGGCTGCATGGAGAGCCAAGTGTCTCTTGTAGCCTAGCTTGGTGTTATACTTCTTGCCACACTCTTCACACTTGAAGGCCATCTTGTTAGGGTCATGAGTCTGAAGGTGATTCTTGAGATGGTCTTTCCTGTGAAAGGTCTTTTCACAGTAGCCACACTGGTGAGACTTCTGTGGAGAATGAGTGGCTGAGTGCCTGAGACAAAAAACAAAGTTATTTGCATTTACATTTACTCTAGTACATTTACAGCTTCAAGACTTGAGAACACCGGCACTCTTGAAGGAATGCATTTCCACAAATTCTCAGATTATTAGTAAAAAACCCTATTTCTTTTTGGTGGGGGAGGTGTTAATCATAAAGCACAGAATAGGTTAAAACTGCTGAAGGTAATCTTTTTGACTAGCCACTGCAATTGAGTGAGACTAGAACTCTCAAATTCTATCAAAATAGGAAAATAAAAGCTGGAACTCGGGGTTAACTGTAACTAGGACACCCCAAAGGAAAAAGTTGTCCTTGTTTCCCCACCACCCACCAGAAAAAAAAGTGCCTTCAGAGCCGTACCTGAGCAGTTTATATTTGGAAATGAAGGCTTTTGTGCATCCTTGCTGTGAACACTTGTAGGGGCGCTCCCCTTTGTGCGCGTAAGTGTGGACAGTGAGCTTGTCAATGGAATCAAATATCTTCCCACAGAGTCGGCAAGGGTAACTGTCTGGCTGCTTCACTTCTCTTCCCTTCAGCAGTGAAGACCGGCCATTTCTCCATTTAGGTATAAACCTCACAAGAGCATCGCAAGTGCTTCCTGAGCTGCCACAACTGAGCTTTGCAGCAGAGGAACAGGAAATGGTCCCTAAGCACTGGGCAATGCTTTTGCCTAATGCCGCTCCTTTCAGTTTCCCTTTGAGTTTGCTTTTCGCTTTCACGGGTCCCAATTTATTTGGCGGTCTAAACCTGGTGGTAAGGACTCGGTCTTTATGGATGCACTGGTGAGATTCCAGCAGAGCAAAAGTTGCAAAAGTGCTTCTACAGCTGGAGCATGTCCAAGGGTCTACAGGCTCTTTCTGCAACGAGAACAGAAACAGGTTTTTCGTATTGGCCATTCTAAGGAAAGGTGATATTCTCACTGTCCCTACACCTTCTCCTTGGGTCTTCTCAAGACCTGTTGTTGTCCTTGGCGATACTGACTTCAATGTACTACCACACAGCTGTTCAACTGGAAATGGATTCTCTCTAGGAGTCTACAAACTCAAAAAAAAATAAAAAATAGTTGGCTAAATACTGATTTCCATGTTTTTGTTTAGCATTTACTGTAACAGTTCCGATTCCTTCCCCTTTGTTTATCTGTGCTTACTCAATTTCAGTCTCTGCATTTGTTGCTTTTATGGAATTACTCAAAAAAGCAGTTTCAAATTGTAATTTATCCTTAAGACTGACAGAATTTATCTACTATTGCAACCATACAAAAATTGGGTGGTTTTCAGCACACAAACGTAGTTCAGCTATACAGGATTTTCCTGTGTTTTGGGCCATCTCCACGCTTCAGCAGACAGCAACGGTCATTGCCTCCAGAAGAGACCGCCTCACTTACCTTGACATTTGGCATTAGACTTTCTTAAATTCAGTAAGAAACACCTTAGGTTTGGGGATCTCAACCCTACTCTGACTTAGAGGCATTAAGCCGCTTTTTTTTGGCTAGCAATGTATTATTTGGAAGCGTTATTTCTGTGAAAACAAGAGCTTTACTGGATTCAGTTCAATTCACTTTAAATATTGGCATTCTAAAAGTTACAATGAAAAGCAATTACAAAAAAAACCCAGTCACTGATGAAATGTACTTCCAACTGGCACACAACCATGTACTTCCTCAGCTGTCTCTATATTTTCTGTAAGCTTCTCATAAACTGTCCTTACTTTCCCTTGCTCTTGGGTTAGCTTGCTCTGGAGAGCATGGTGAGGCTATGTCCACTATGTTTTTTATTTACAGATGGACCCATCCTCTCTCTTATCTGTGTCTGATGCTGCGGGTCTCCCACACTTTCTCCTTTCTGAGGTGTTCTCTGAAGGCTTCATACACAAAAGCAGTAATGGGGTTACTTCCCTTCCTGGAGAACCTCTAAATTCTTGCTTCATTCATATTCCCTGTTTAACATTTCTGTCCAGCTTAGGTATCCATCTTTGTGGCCGCTTTTTCAATGCTCAACAAGCTTTTCCTATCGGTTAAGGATTCCTACTGAGGGGAAGGTATCTGGATTAGAAGGTATCCGGAAGGTATCTGGATTATCCGGAAGGTATCTGGATTAGAAGGGTTATCGCATAGGAAAGACTGAAACAATCAGCACATTATCTCTCCAATCAGTCAGAGCATAACAACGGGGAAACTGGTGAAAGAAGTCTGAGGCTGGGCAGCTTGGTTATCTACAAATTAATGCCAATCTTAAGTCTTCCCAACACATCCCACTGGTGCCACTTACTTGTGACTACATCTAACAGCTCCCCTGGATTACCAACACAGGAGAGGAAAACCAACCTTGGTCGCAGTAGCTGTTAGTTAAAATCACTCTTGGCTGTGTGTTGGCCAAAAACTCTATAGTCTACGCCAGCATTACCAGTTACATAAACAGAGAAAACATGTACGTAAACCAGAATTTACTGTGTCTGGTGACAGCCTGAATATAGATTAGGGGTACTTACTGCTACTGGAGGCAAAGGACAGGCATCAGATTCTTCTTTAATAAAGACTGCAGAAGCTTCCATAAATTTGGCATAATCGGCAGCATACCATACTTTCAATTCTGTGTGGGGTTCAATTGGCTGTGAATGGAAGAAAATAGCACATGTTTACTTGTGCCAATTCTCCTATACCAAAGTGAAGTGAAGACTGGAGAGTGCGTATGCGTACGTAACTTGTTCTTAACTAAGTTGCATTCTTTGAATCTGTTTAAATTATTGGTAACTTAGTCTCAAGATTCAAGCACTTTTGAGCATTACTGTCCACTAGGGTTTGACACTCTCACACTTTCAAAACACAGAAACGTGTATGCAAAGAGATTTCTGGGGGCAGTAGCAGGAGCGTTGCCTCTGCCCTCAAGACCTTTGCTCAGTGAGATGTATCTGTCTGTGATGTCCAGACACCCAGCACTCTTCCAAAGCCATATCCCATGCCCACAGGACACCACACTTAACTGTAGGGTATAGGCAAAGGAAAAATATGCATCGTGAATGCACAACAGCTTGGATGCGTCCTGGGTATGTCGCACTCACCGAGCACGGGTGCAGAGCTGATCACTATGCGGACTGCAAGTCAAATTGGCACGGTTCCACGCGCCAGCTCACCATGCACCTGCTTTACGCACCTCTGCCCTCCTTTCACTGAAGCCTTCCCACACAGCACTAAGGGAGCTGATAATCTACAGCCTCCCATCCAGTCATGCCTGCCCAAATCTTTCCTTGGACTGCACTATGACCCCCTCTGACAAATACTCTCAGTCAATAATACGGCAAATAGAAAGAGAGAGGAGTGATTACACTCACTGGTTACAGCCCTATTAAACAGTTTAAATGCAAAGGAGAAAACTAACTTTGGAATCATGATTTATATAATTCAGAGGCCCTGTACACAATTTTCTTCATCTATAATAAGAAACAACATTGTTGCAACAGGAGTAGAGCCAATCTGCCCTGTACTTCTCGTTTTATATTAACTAAGCTAAACCTATGCCACTGAAAAGAACAAACTAGCCTGGAAGGAGAGCAGCTGAGTCTTATTCAAAAAATGTGACCTGTTAAAATGCACTTATTTTATAACACTGGTGTTGGATAAGCGTGGTAGCTGAAAGACAACTTAACTTGCAAACACTGACAGGTAACTGTGAGCACAATGTTGAAAACTGAACTTCTGAACTCCTGCCTGCTTACTAACTGCAACCAGAATGGGCCGGTTGTACGTTTTGATAACACCTGGCCCAAACAGACACGGTATGTGCTGAATTTTCCACTGAATAAAGGACACGAGGCAGAGCCACCAACTAGGAGGCTGACCATGTGTTGTGCTCCTGCATGCAGTCTACTCAGATGGAGAAAACCAAGCCTGAGAGAGCTCCACAGAGTCTAGGGATGCCCTGGGACCTTGGCCAGTGACAGCTCAGACCAATACCCACAAACAGCTGCAGGCCATGATACTGTCCTGACTTTCTGCCCGACATCTCGGGACCAGCAGCGATCATCCTCTGTGGGAAGCTAAGACCTAGTCAATGTGACTGGGGAGGGAAGTGCATCAGTGTGCAAAGTAGTCACACAGGGTAAAAGCTCCAATCTCTGTAGAACCGAGGTTAAACACCAGTATCCAAATCCACTACAAGTTGTCATTTACTCTGTCTCACCTGTGACAATAAGAGAAAGCCATGGCAAGCACCCTCGTGAAACTCTCCTGTGATCAGACAGACAGGAACCATGGATGACTTGCATTTCCTCACAGTTCTGTACTTTTAAAGCACTTACTTCTAGGGACTGCAGCCATTAGGTCTCCAAGTACGCTAACAGTGCTATTAGTGTGCCACTTACATGAATGCCTTTGGAGTTGCAGTTGCACGTCACTGAAATCCCATCTCTGTGTAAAAACAGCAGGGAGAGAAGCCAATCCTTCTGCTCCCAACTTAACAAGAGTTTATTCAAAATATCTTAAAACATCTTCATAACAAGCCCTAGGGCAGCCTCACACCATGACCAGCAGGGTGTGCCTAAGTGTAGCAAAAGGCACCACTCTTGCTGACCAGGACAAAATCTGGAGGATGCCACAGTACCATGAATGATACTCGGACATAGGAGGAATGAACCCAAAGTAATTCCCTATGATACAGAGCACAGTAAAGGTTCCAAGGCACATTCCTCATCCTAACATACTCCTCATGTCAGTATAGAGGATGCACCTCTCCACCAATGCCAGTGAGCAGAGTTTCACTGAAGTCAGCAGACAGCTGGTACAATAGTATTTAAATTATACTGGAAATTTTAAGTTACCACTTCATAACTACAACTTCTTCGAAAAACCTTTGTTCATGCTTCCCAAACATAGTATTATTAATCCTGTCAGTTCTACAAGTATAGCATGCACTTTAAATCAAATTGAAATCTCAAATGGTATGGGCTGTATCAGAATCTCAAACACAGCCTAAACAATGTCTCAGATTAGCATCTACTGTTTTACATTGATTTTGGTTTTTTAGAATAATTATTTTAATTTTAATTCAAATATGACTATAATTCATACTGTTACAATGAAGATGTAAAATGTTATCACTGTTAACTTATTCTCAAATCATCACTGTATGTTATTTTTCTCAGTGTGCAGGTGGAGAAGGAAAAATAGAGGAACAAAAATAAGCAATGCTACCCCACAGAAATGTGTGCCAATCCTGGAAATGAAATTGAAATGCTGGATTTTAATCCCACATTAACTTATTTTGACTAATATTCTTTTTAAAAAAAAATTAATGTTGCTTGCTATGATATACAAGCGTTACCTTAAGAATAAAAAAGGAAAACAATGAATGATCAACACAGAGACTTCAGTTTCCTAAGTGTACAAAAGAGTAAATTCTGATTAAAACAAACTTTGCCTGAGAAAGTGGCCAAAATAACAAAACCCAAGACTGTATGTTCCAATGTAATTTATAAATACGGAGTACCTTGTTCTCTCTACTCAGATGAAGATGCAGTCTAGAAGCTCTAACATAAACTGATCATTTCATGGCAACATTGCAATACTGTAAGTTCTGCAGTTATGTCTTAGATTTAATGAGTGTGGGAAATAGTATGTAAATATTCCACTAAGCACTCTGTTCCTGAGCACCTGGTAATGCACTCAGAACACAATCTGTGTCCAAAAATCTAATAAAGGAAAGGAATGTGTTTATTCTTTCCAAGACGCAGTACCTATCCAAGACTGTGTACCTATCTGGAACTGAAGAACTTTACATCGTTCACATTTAAACACCACCATCACAAACGGTATTTCTGTTTCCCTCTGCTCCGTTTCTTTTCTACTCACAACAGCAAGTACACATCACCTTTTGCTGGAAAACCCCACAGACTGCTCACTTTACTATGGGTTAAGGGATATAAAAGGCTGTATGTAATAAAGATCCAGTTACCAGAATATAACCAATCTTGGCTCTGTAAGAATGGTTAGCTTTTCAGAACCTTTGCCTATGAATTCCAATTTGGATGACGGGTGAAGCAAAGTGGGTCTAACTACCTTAACAGTTGTAAAGTAGACTTCTCCGCAGTGCTGATAAGCCACAAGGGTCTGTTCTTCTTGGTTTCGGGCTAGCCGGACAAACATCATCCAATTTCCACAGTCTTCATTGGGAGTGTCCAGAAAGTATTTCCCTCCATCTTTCAATACCTGAAACAAAGGGGGAGGACAGCAGAAAGAACATGATAAAAGCAAGCCCTGTATAGAGGCACATTAGTTTTCTTTAACTTGCAATCAGTTATTTACCCTGTCTTGGTCATCATGGTTGTTTTGAAACAGATCACTCTTAAAGAACACCAAGTGCAAAAGAAAGCAAAGAATAAACACCTGCCAAGACATCCAGCTACTAAAATAACTGTAGGCCTTTGTATGTATTTCCAGTTTATATTTCATCAGTTTTATGTTATATGAAGATAATATTAAGAACTAAGTGCAGGCAAGTAGAAAGATAAGCTTTATGCCTTAATGTACTTCCTGAGTACTTGATAACTTCAAACTTCAGTGCTGTATTAACGCTACATGTTGCACAGAACAATTGTATAACTTGTGTACTAAGTTATACAATATGGGAACATATGATGTAATGGCATTTTAAGAGTTTTCTCTTTTTCCCCTTAACAACGCGAAAGTAAATACAAATTAATAATTGTGCCAGAAATATCTTTCTTTCTGCTTTACTTCATTCCTCCTAGATTCCTTTCCAAAAGAATGAATGCCTCTACACGGCAAATGCTCCCGACCTCGTACAAGACAGTTGCTTTTCTGCAACACACTCTTGAACACGGACAGCTGAAGCTGCACAACAGGTGTCAGTACAGTATCTGTTCTACTAACCACTTAAGGGAGCAATTAATTGCAAAAATAGTTGCACTTCCATTGCTTCTGGGAACTATTTGTGGAAGCCCCATCCCTAAAAGTGCTGAAGGCCAGGTCGGGTGGGATTTTGAGCAATCTGGTCCAGTGGAAAGAGTCCCTGCTCCATGGCAGGGGGGTGGGAACTAGATCATTAAGGTTCCTTCCAGTTCAAACCATCCCACGATTCTATGTTTCTGATGGAAGCACCTGCCTTTTGGACAAGTTTGGTCACATACTCAGAATGCTGCTAGCAAGAAGTCAAGGCGGCTACTGCTGACATGTAGGAAACATAGGACTCCAGTCTCCTGAAGAAACGGTCCATTCATCAGCCAGAGCTGTGCTTATCACTGTATACTTTTAAGTAAATGGGGGTAACTGATAGAGGATAGGGTGTGGTTTACAGAGGCTTGGTGAAGAGGAAGGAACTGAGTGCTTAGCTCATCCATGCTTACAAGCTTGTTAGAGAAGTATGTTTGCTATAAGAATTGAAATTCAGTTATGGAGAAGAACAAACTTTCTCTGGTGTCAACATGACACGAAAATCCCACAGAGGGACAGTGTTGCTTTCCTGGCAGATTCTCATGACTTCCATGGGCAAATGAAGTTTGCAGCAATTATTGAAGCTATTGCTTTTGCTCTCAAACAAAATTACAGAAGTGTCTGCATCTACGCCTTCCTCCATAACAGTGTTCCCCATAACAATGTTTTCCAGTCCCAAGATTCTGGAGAAAGCTTAAGTGAAAACCTAGAGCATGTCACAGGACAGCTGCTGCTGGTCCCTCTTCTCCTGAGGGGTGAGAGGGCCTGATATGAAATGCAGTCTCTGGAAGAACAGTGACCTGTTGGGACGTCCCGATGGAGGTTGTGGCTTGATCGCAGACTTGCTGTATGACAGCGAGGCGTGCCCAGGCGTGACCTCGCTCGTGCAGCAAAATGCAGAGACCAGTGTATAGAGAATTATGATCAACCATCACTCCCATGGAATTCCTGTGGGAAAGGATGTGCAGGCAGGTATGTCTAAGTTAGGCTAATCCCAAGAGGCCACTGCTTGTGATGAATAAAGTGCAAACAACAGTGTCACAGTCCAGATGAAACGATCAGTATCTGTGCACGCAGCAAGGGATGGTACCAGCCCTAAATATCAACCTGACGAAATAAACTTAGTGTACCGTGTTAAAGTTTATATATAACCACATCATTAAGAACTATTTTCCCATCCCTACTAAGTGGGTGCCTTAGCACATATTTCTGCCACTATTGCTAACGCAGGGCACAAACTTAACCCTTACAGTGGCATGGTGTCATGCACAAATCCTTTTGCTTTTATCTGGGAAGAGAGTACTGTCTTTGGATACTTTCAGTAGTTGTGCTCTGTGAGAAGTTTATCAAGAGCTGTTAGACTGATGGGTAAATCACCCTGGAAGTGGTAAAACTAGAAAGCAAGGAAGCAAACTTCTGGAAAACACAATATGCAGGAAT